CCCCTTCAGACTTTTTATGTTTTCAAATTACATTTTCTTAGGCCATGTTGGATTCCGAAACACATAAGCAACATATGTCCGTGCAGCCATTTGTGAAGCCCATTACGCCACAAATCAGCCTCCTCTCATCAAAGCAGCTCTCTGGATGTCTCTTAAGGCAGTTTGTTTAGCTGTGGGCCGTTTGTGTTGAGGCTGCAGCTGCTTGAGAGTCCAGCAGAGATACACAACAGTGAAAAGTTTACTGGTACAGATCTGCTGATTTTGTCCCTAAAGTTAAATGCTTTTATTACTGTATGAATAAACATATCATATCTATCAACAATGATAATTTTAGAATGAAAAAAAAAAAGCATGAAAACTGAATGAAAGAACATGATGTTTCATGACCACACAGCTGATCCCTCTGAGTTCTGTGGGTAAGGGGGTGAACATATTGACAGTGTATGTTAATATGCTGCCATTGAAGAGTCTGGTATTTTTTTTTTTTTCTTGTCTTTCCTTCCACAGCTGATATGCTGGCTATGAGACTAGCGTCGGTGGGGATGTGTGTGCTGTCTTTGCTTTCCATCCTCATTATGATCCCCAGCCTGGGGTGTACAACAATGATTCCCAGTGTGCCAGCTCAGGGCCGGCTGCTGCAGGTCTCTGGCGCCCTCTGTCTGTGTGGAGGTTGGCACTGCCGCTCATTACACTCAATAACAGCCCTAATCATTTCCAGCCAGAAGCAGTTTGTTTGGTTTGTGGTTTGGGTTTTGGACTACTTCAGATTCATATCATTCTCTGGTTCAAACACGTCTCCACGTAATTAAGTGTGTTGTCGTTTACACTCGTAACTCTCAATTTCTGACTCTTGCTGTGTCTGTGGGTCGGTTTAAAAAGTGTGTGTGTGTGTGTGTGTGTGTGTGTCTTTCAAGTGTGTGTGGTGCAGTGGGCCTGCTGTGGTACGGGGTGACGACTTACACCAGATACAGACAGGAAGTAGGTTTCATTACCCGACTCAGCAACACTGAGAGATCATATGAGCTTTTAAATTCCTCCCCTCACTGCAGCCAAGATGAAAACTGACTTTCATTCATTATGTGTCGCTCATATTTTGTCAGAATATGACCCACTGTTGTCCAAACAACATCTTCATTTCCTGTCGAGCTGCCACTGAGCTCATATTTATTTTTATATTACTGTACTGTAGCCATTTATCACACTCTTTGTTAAAGAGCTGAATTACTCATAATATTTCAATATTTTACTGACAATTCTAATTGTATTAGCAAACAAATCAAATCTCATTTCTTTTCTTTCAAGATGCTTGTTATGGGCATGTTAATGCTGTGGCAACATTTTATTTCTCACAAACCCATTTATTTAATGTTGTCTTAAATTGAACTAGAATGTAACTATGTGTGATAAAATAATCAAACAAACAAACAAAGCTAACATGATGACTTTATAGGCCGTTCTATGATTATGTGGCTAATGTAAAATGGTGTCACTCATAGAAGAAGTATCACTTGGCTCTAGAGTTCCTCTCGGTTCTGAAGAGTTAGCATATTTAGCTCATCGTTTTGGTTTCATAGCCTTCAATTTAAATATCTCGGTACGCTCTCACTGCTCAAATCAGCGTTGTTTCCAGATAGAACAGGAAACAGTTTTTAACGATGAAACTCTGTCCAGCAGGAAAAAGATGCAGTTAGCAACTACCTGGTGAACATAGAGCATTTAGCTACAGCGGCCATGAGAGCTCAATGCACTGCAACTTAAGAAAACACATGCAAATAGACATAACACAAACAAATTCAGAAAACATCTTCATCAATTTGACAACACATGTGCTGCAAATGCACATAACACAACCAAATACAAAAACACGCTGCAAGTAGCGCAGACAACAACAGAAGTGTTTCCAGGAGACACAAAAAAAGTGAGGATCCCAGCTGGGACGCACTTGTTGATCAATGCTCTTAACTTCAAAAGTCACAAAGGATTGAACAGCAAGTGCATGTGGATGCATTCTAATACATCCATGCAAGTGCGTCCAAGCAGGGTTCATCAGTTTATGGTATTCCCTGGAAACACTTCGGCTGAACAGAAACACACCTTCAAACCTTGCCAAACAAATCAATTAACACATGCTTAAGAGATTTTAAGTGCAACAATAAAGTCATGATAAGTTCTGGTTCTACAATTTATGAGTTAATTTACATAAAATCCAGTCCTCAGCTCCTGAATCAGCTGTGTGTGAGTCACAGAGTGTTTTGCTGGCAGACACACTGTGGAGCTGAGAGACAAACCTGCTAAGTCGAGCTAGAATAAGTTGAAAGCGATGCAGACCAGTCACAGACACTAACAAGTGTTGCCAGCAGGCAGAGGAATTCACAGAGAAGGTCTCAGAGAGGGAGTGGATACAAGCCTGTAGCACAAAGTTAATGGTGTTCACAAAGAAGTTTTAAAAAACCAAGAAATCAAGGTAGACGTTGTGTTTCGTCACACTCACTGAATTTCTAATAATACCATCACAGAGAGAAGGAGAGGGAAATCACAGACAGAAAGTTTTCATGCCTTTAAGGCAAGTAAGAAATAATGCACTTACTTCATTATTACCGCATCTCCTCCTCTGACAGGTGACTCTGGGGACGCCGGGGATCACGTTTGAGTTTGGGCTCTCGTACTGGTTGATGGTGGGAAGCGTGTTCTGCTCTCTGACCTCAGCTGTGTTGGCAGTCAGGAGTGTGTCTCGTATCAGTGATGACATCGGGACGCAACCGAGACTCGCTCACAGTCAGCCAGCACAAACCGGCGACATCATGTCACCACGGTCTCCCTCAGACTACAAGACTTACGTTTAAAGCTTTGCAAGACAAAATCATCAAAATTTTCTTTATTAGTCTTCTATCCAGATGCTAATATTAGATCTTTGGTGATTTTTTAGGTGTAGACAATCACTGGAATAGTTGTTGAAGTCACTGCTACTGTTCGATATAGTGCTGATGTTCGCTTCCCCTTCAATATGAATAACAAGCGACTCTATAAAAACATGTTTTATTGTTGTAATTGTGTTTACAGTTCAGCGACGACAGAGTTTCCAACCTCACATTCCTAAATTACCACGATGTGCAAGTTCCAATCAAACGCATGTGTAACACATCATCCATCAGAGAGCCGTAAGTGGGAAAACACATTCCTGTGTTTACTAACGATTTGGTTTCTGCTGCAAGCTTCAGTTCATCAAGTTCATTATGGCAGAAACCTCTGCTCTTCGTATCAATTATAATAATAGTGTGTGCAAGTAGTTTGATATCTCATATCATATCTTTTTTAAGAAGCATGAAAACATATTTTCAGCTTGATCTTAGCAGGAAAAACACAAGCGACAGATGCTGATATACGTGTTTAATTTTGATGGGAGTTTTGTGAATGTGCCATATTGTTGTGAAATGCCTCTTTATATATGCATCCCATTTGGAGCAAATGTGTTTTTGCATGATAGTCTTAGTGTGTATGTAGTATTGTGGAACAGACTGTATAGTCATATGGTGTAGGAGCATCTGTACATGTCAGCTGTATGTGAGATTTCACGTCCGTACTCTGTTCCCACCACTGCTGTCTTCAGTGTGCGTTTTTCTCAAACTGCCTTATTTTAAGTCTGTATACAAACTCATGGACCGTCTGTCTCTCTCTTCTCCATCTATGACAGCAGCTTTGAAACTGACGCCCCAGGCTTTCTATGATCTGCTTGAGCTGATTTACATTGATTTGATGCATTCAAATCATCCTTATGTTCAAGATATTTGAATGCTGTTTAATGCTTGTGTGGTTTCCTGAAAGAAGAGGTTGCAAGTCTTTCTTAATACATATATTCATATGTATATCAAAGCTACTGATCTCTGTAATCATTTCCTCTCTATATACTTGTCGTTAGGAGATTCCTTCCTATGACTCCGGTGTAACCACCTGTTCACACATACAGACTCAAATAGCTGAGTCTTCCTTGTTTCCCACACACCTGCAACCTCATGTGAAGAAGTTTCACATGAGCAGTACTGTAATAAGGTCTCTATCTACATAGACAGATAACTAACAGCATTCTATTGAATTAAAGGTCCCATATTGTACAAAGTGAGATTTCCATGACTTATTAATAACTTATTATAAAGCAGGTCTATGTTCTATATTGATACAGTGAAAGTATCAAAGCCTCAGTCCACAGAGAAATGCACACAGACGGTATTCACAAACGAGCTGTCAGAACCTCTGCAACTTTATGATGTCACAACAAAGCAGTCACCGCTCTCAGCCATGCCCTAAGCCCCGCCCACCTGGACCCACCATCCAACCTTGCCAGATTTGGTTTATCTATTTACTTGAAATCTGCAGTGCAATTTTTATTTTTTATTTGATCACTCAATAAACAGTCAGCCAATCAGAAGAAAAACACAGGAAAAAATGTAAAATATGGGACCTTTAATGCAAAACCACAGGGTGCCATTGTGATACCATATAATAGCTAGAAAATATAAAATCCCCCCTATTGGATACACAGGATAAGTTATTTACAGAGGAGATGTTGCACCAGACAAAACATGGTGCTATTTAATTTCAGTTGGACTTTCAACTAAACTTTAAGTAAAATCTGAAGTGATCCTTTAATAATCTTTTTTTTTTTTTTGTAAGTTTCTTTTTAAGTTTTTACAGCAATTTCACTAGTGGGGATGTGAAGTTCACATAACCGTGTCCATCCAGATAAAAGCTAACCCTTCATTCCCAGCTCATGAGTTGTAGTGAGCTGTAGCAGTGGTAGTTAACTTTTTGAGTCCACCTCTGAGAATGTACCAGTCCAGTGGAGCAGAAGTGGAATTCCACATCTGCAATTATTGAACAACAGGGTGCAAAAGAAGTATTTGAGCTGGAGAGGAGGAATGAGTGGAGGGAGCAAAAAGTCAGGAAACAACTGATGAAGCACTGACTCACAGCCAAAAATATTTTTATGTCGCTGTTTACTTTATTCTAAAAGAAACAGGCAGGGGTATACTGTAAATGAGATGATACACAACATGGAGGAGGTAAATATTAGAGAAAGGAATGGCATGGTAAATAAATGCAGGCATCAGAAGGGCATTTGAACACAGGCGTTCCTTAGTATAGGAGACAGCACACAGTACAGTACATCCTTTAGAGTCCAAAATACAACGACTCTGTCATTCACACAAAATCATATTGGCACTTAACAAAACAAAATGAATGTACTGGGTATATCCTCAATCCAGGCTACTTGGAAACAACCACACAGCTTCTTACAAAGAGTGCATAAGGCATTATGCTGAAGATCTATCGTATGTATGTGTTTGTTGTTTCTTAAGTGGTACTGTAGAGTAGCTTCACATTCATTTTCAGAAATCCCACAATAGAAAAAAAGGTAAATAGAACTGCTGGCAGAGGAGACTATGGACTCACATCCCTCAGATGGGACGTGAGACTATGAAGAATCTGTGTGGTCAAAAACATACATGTGAACAAACATGTGTTATAAGGCACTGTAGTAAAATATTATATATGTAGTAAAAAAAAAAAAAAAGAAAAAGAAAAAAGAAAAAAAAAAAAAGAATAGAGCAGGTGGTATATACACCCGGGCATTTTAACATGTTATAGAAAACATACCCTGAATGACTGTCTCTCCCAAAGTCAGCAAAACAGACAAGACAAGCATATCATCTTTCTCAATCCCCCCTGAAACAACTATTTCATTTAATTCTCCCAAAACAATTTATTTCACTTCAACAAAGACTCTAATTTATGTTGCCACAATATACTTGAAAGGTTGCTGTTCGTAAATTCTCTCTCTAGTGGTGTCTGTCTGTTTTGAGTTCCTCAGTGAGAGGCTTTTGTCTGTTGACAGAATCTAAACCATGGTAAGGCCAGAAGACTCTCCCAAACTACAAGTACTGCTCCCTTTTCTCTGGTGGGGTACTTTTAACATTTGGTCTGCAATTCAAAAGGGAAAAAAAGACATGTTTCAGTCAAAGTACAGTCACAGCGGAGACAAAATAAACCCAGAAGAGACACATTTACAAAAACACCCAGAGGTCATAGGATATAAGTGAAGTCATCAATCAGCACAAACAAAACCACAAAGTGTTTCAACTCATTGTTAACTCTCAGCTGATAGTGGGGCAGAGGGTGGGTGTGGGAGGCGCAATAGAGTGTTTACAGGCTGAAATGGAGGCGGCCACCTCATTTCTTAAAGAAAAGATCTGATCAGAGTCCATATTTACAGAAAAGGCTCAGAAGGTTGGGGAAAAAATGGGAGAAGAGAGTGCATCTTAGTTCCCATTATAACTGATAAGGTGCAGATGTAGTACCGAGGAAAAGGGAAATGTTCTGCTACAAGAGGTCCAAATTTGGGTCTAAGAGGTAACGGGGAAAAAAAGGGAAGACAGTGGTTGGACAGGCGGACAGTCCTCGATAAAAAGGCGAGGGCTGATCAGTCAGGGAAACTAGTTTCACTCAACAACTCTGCCCTGAATTAGAGGAGAGAAGAAGACAGTCGGAGAAGAACAGGATTAGAGGACAGGAGGGGAAATAAGAGACACAATAAGAGACCTCTCAGATTCTCACAACAGCTATGAAGTGTTAGGAAGACGGTGAGATGCTTGATGACTGTAAAGATGTTAGCAGAGGGAGTGAAAGTCAGTGAGAAGGAGCGTGGGAGGTGATGCTACATGTCAGCTGGCTTCTAATCTACACATCAAAGAGATTACATGTACCGAATACGAGTATTAGTATTAGTAATGGTGACAACAACATATTACATCAGATTTCTCTGGCTGAACTTAAGTTAGCTGCTAGTTCATCAGCTGTATTTAAAGAAGAAACTGAAATTTAGGGAAATACTGTTTTCACTTTCACTTTCTTGACAAGAATTAGATGAGAAGTTCAGTTTAGCTTAGCTTAAAAAGTGTAGCAACTGGTTTAGCTGAAGCCAAAAGTAACAAAATCCACCTATGAGTTCCTCTATAGCTCAATAATTTTGACATTTTATCTTTAGAAAGAGCCAGGCTCGTTGTTTGCAGTCTTTATGCAATGCTAAGCTAACAGAAAACAGTCAGCCAATCAGAGGAGAGGCTCCCTCACCGACCTGTTGTTACTAGAGCTCCAGAGAGAAGCCCGAGAGAGGAGATATAAAACTACATTGAGATGGTTTTTGGTTCTTAAAACCACAAATATATCTTCTTATGGATCAACACTTCAAATAAAACACAGGAAAAGTGTAAAATATGGTACCCTTAATGAATGGATGTCACTGCCGGGAACACAGTGAATAAGTGAAATTCCCAAAATGTCAAACTCTTCTTTTAAATGTACATTTTCTTATCTTTGGACATAGCTTTACAGGTAGTTCTACCAGACTTGTTGTTAAGCAATCCTCATTCAAAACACAGCTGCTACTGACATACCAGTGACGCCTGACCTTCCCCTTTATTTAAAGGGCAAAAGGAATTTCCTATAGAACCCCCACCCACACCCCCCACCCCCCCACCCCCACAATCTGACAATAATAGAGCACTCCACAAACAAGTGTCTACCAAGAAGTGAGGCCATATGACTGGGAAACGGGGCGACTGGGACCTATTCTAAGAAAAGTTAATGGCTTTATTATCTGGAACAGTGATGGACCAGCTCTTTTAGAAACACAAATGAGAGCAAAGCGACGTGGGAGCATCAACGGGGATCTCAAGAGCCAATTTAGACCTGCTGCTGAGCTTTTACAGGCTCTTATGTGGCGCAGATTTTTAAAACTGCTGCAGATGTCTATTGTCATTTATCCCCATGGAGTCACTATGTGTAATAAACCAAACAGTGTCGACTGCAGTGAAGTTAAATACGACATGATTTGTGTTTATTTACTGCATCATGTCAGCTTACGGTCCACTGTAAAGTAATGTGTAATACTGTGCTAACGTCTTAGCTTATGATCCCCAGTCAGATTATACTTGTGAGCGAAGAACAGCTTAGATCTCAGACATTGGTTTGGTTATACCAGAGAGTATGTGACGGTGTGTATGAATGTGGAGTAATGGTGTTAGTAAACGTAGCGGGATGATATGTGTCAAAGAGAACCTCCACTTTCTCTCAGTGTTGAATAAAATGGTGAAATGATCATCGACAGCATTCACACTCAGTACAATCTCAGCAGACACCTTTCACTAACAGTTTATCTCCACTGCTGCAGTTCAGATCGTGTCTCGGCACGTCGCTCTCGTCAGCTGATCGCTGCGTAAAACAGGAACTACACCTTCTTTTAAAGTGAGGAAGCTGCTCAGCTGTTACAAAATTGCCGCCTGAGGCCTTAATTACACAGAGCACCTAACACACCTGCTTCTTTATCCTCAGTTATTTTGGTTAATCACACCTAAGCAGTCTTCATCAGGGTTATAGCTACCGAGCTCACGTCCTCTGTGTTTATTCTGAGCAGCAGGAATCAGTGTCATCTCTGATCATGACCTGATTTCCTGAGGGAGAGGCAGAGGAGCTGCTCAGTAACCTTTCCATGTTTTTGAACAGCGTTTTTTACACAACCTAACTGCACCAGTGGAGTGTGAGTACACAATGCAATATGGAGGCAAAACACAGATGCAGCTCCAACCAGGAAGCATAGGACATGCTAAGTTCAGTGTCCATTCTGTCTGGGTATCTGCCGTGATGCAGCTTTTATTTTGCTTTTCGATTCACTTGAAATGTAGTTCTGCTGTAGCAAGAAACACATTTTGTCTTTCAGAAAGTGGATGACTCAGTGATTTTCGGGTCAGATTTAATCAGCCACGTTAATTTAAAGTAGATTAAATAATGACATTAAAGCGCAAGAGGTTTCCATTCACAATACAAGCTTATCATTATATCAGTGAACTGGATGATTGACATCAAATATGTAGGTTGTATGTTCACAAATTTAAGTATGTAGTTTGTTTTAGCCACAAAAATGCATCTTACTTGTTGATAATGTGTCTGTGTGTAACACTGTATGTGGTATGTGTGAGTCCTTGTGTCTGCAAATGGATCCCAGTGTCTGAGTACTACATGATTGCATGCATGATAGTCTTTTGGTTTTGTATTAACAGGCATAATCTGAGTAAAAAGGGGGGGTGGTGCCAAGTGTGTCCTCTGCTCTCTGTTTGGGTGGCTGCTGGAAGGGGGTGGGGTTTACACGTACTCCCTGGCTGTGGAAGGCTGTGATTGGCGGTAATATTGCTGTCCTCGCATGTCATCTTTGGAGCAGGAGCAGCACAGCAAGGAGCCGCCCAGTACCGTGAGACTGGCCGCCGCCCAGCCCACGAACAGGGCTGAGCCGAACTCATACCTGTGGAGGAGGCAAAGGAGGAAGAGGATGTGAACAGGTATGCAGGCTTTAATCAATAGTAGATAACCTAGAGTCATTTCAACATTTTGTCCCAACACAGTCGCTCAAAACAGCTAATAACGGCATGGATCAAAACAACTTCATCTTATGGTTAGGTACAGAAATCGATGGATTCCCAACAACTGAAAAATGGAGACTGTCCTATTTTAAAAAATGAGCCCATAGGTCGTCTGTGCAGCAGATTATTATGACCAATAGTTACATTTTGTTGCTATAGGTAACATCTGGTGGTCATAGTAGTTATGATGAGTAGCAAAGGGAGAAGTGCGGTGACGTAGTATAAAGAGAGGGTGATAAAGAGAGGCAAGGGGGTGGTGAATGGATGAATATGACACAGGAGAGCGGTGTTTGATTCCCATGTGAAAGTAGGAGTTTACGGTGTTTCCATTATCCATGACCATTCAACAATGTTAACCACGTTGTTATTATTGTAGCCATGACAACAAAGATTGTCTAATGTTGAGGAAGAAATTATTTTTACCCAAATCATGATCTTTTCTAAAAGCTAACCAAGCCATTATTATAGAAACCATAGTAACCATGGTGACACTGTTTGGTACAGTCCGTGTGTTTATTATTGTAACCATGACAACAAAGATTGTCTAATGTTGAGGAAGTAATTATTTTAACCCAAATCATGATCTTTTCCAAAAGCTAACTAAGCCACTATTATAGTAACCATGGTGACGAAGGTAGGTACGCCGCTGTTTGGTACAGTCCGTGTGTATATTATTGTGCCACCATAGGGGTGCTATTTGAGGAGACACTCCTATGGGTCATTCATTCATTCATTCATTCATTTTCTACCGCTTATCCTCTAGTAGGGTCGCGGGGGGGCTGGAGCCTATCCCAGCATCCTTTCGGGCGAGAGGCGGGGTACACCCTGGACAGGGCGCAAGTCCATCACAGGGCACACAGAGACAAACGACCATTCACTCTCACATTCATACCTATGGTCAATTTGGAGTAACCAATCAGCCTAGTCCCCATTTGCATGTCTTTGGACTGTGGGAGGAAGCCGGAGTACCCGGAGAGAACCCACACAAGCACGGGGAGAACATGCAAACTCCACACAGTAAGGCGACAGCGCTAACCACTTTACCACCGTGCCACCCCCTATGGGTCATACGACCTGTATATTTGTTCAGGTTGAAGGAGTTGTTGGAAAAATGTTCAAATTCAAATTTTCCATGTTCACCAGCCATTAGCTTGCCAACTTTATGAAATACATGTTGACTTCATTGATTTAGTTTTTGGTTCTTTGGCTGTAGCCAAACATGAAGTCGAATGGCCATTTTCCAGTGGCCTTGTTTGGTATGTATGTGGTACTGACCATCATTGACTGTCAAACACAAGCCTCACAACTGTTGCAACTACAGAGTTCATTTAGACAGCAAGCAATCACCAGCTGTTTCTAGTGTCAATATTACTTTTAATGTAGAACAAATGTCACAGAGCCAGCTTCTGACTTGTCCAAAAATAAGAAACAGGGCTGAAGTTGTCAAATATGTTAATGAACAAGAAGACTGAGAGGAAGTGGAAGCAGCAGAGAGAGAGAGAGAGAGAGAGAGAGAGAGAGAGAGAGAGAGAGAAATGAAAGAAAACTTCCTCAGTAACTTTTTAATTGTTCTGTAAACACTGAGATCGTCATTGTTTTGATGACAGGCGTCTCGCCTTTCTGTCTGTTTCCATTTCCCATCTTCTTTTCAAGATCAGTTAAAAAAAAAAAAAAATCACACAGTTGCAAAACACTTTGTTGTGGTCTTATATGCAAAATGAAGCTGAACTTTTTCATCTATTATTTGTTTAATCTGCCTGATATTTGTTCTTTTCAGAAAACTTTTTATGAACTTTTATGTGTTTGTGGAGTTTTTGCGGAGCATCTCAATGGCATAACAGATCAAACTGAAAGTGTTATCTCCCCATTAGCAACTCAATCCCTCATCATATATATGACAGTAGCTATTCAAACACATTAGTTTAAAGACCAAACCTCCAGTGATTAATTTGATGTTTTTTGGATTGCATGAGGCAGCTGGCAAAATTTTAATATTCTTCCTCAAATTAGTCAAATACACAGTAGACTATGCAAAAAAGGAGATTTTCTCAGCCAATACTGATACTGATGATGGCGCAGAAGGCTGATAAGAATGCGTAATATTTACCATCACACCATATTATAAAAAATTTGCTTATCACTTTTCAGTTTAAATCTTGTTAACAATGTTTCCTGACAGCTTTTGAGGAAAGGCATAAATATATCCTCTCATCTGTGGTAATTAAAGGATGAAGAGTTTGGCATCAGGTGAGCCACATACCTGGCATTGGGTGGTGTATTTGGGTTGAAGAACTGATAGGACACCTGAGTGGCATACCAGGACACAGACACCAGTGTACATAGACCTGTGGTAGGAGAAAAGATGCATACAACTGAATGAGTTATGTGTGCCGATTAAGCCTGCAAATGTTCACCGCAGCTAAAACACAAACACAAATGAACTGGGGAATCCTTGTTTACTTAATATGCTCCCCTGCGGTTATGGTTTGTCTGAGATCAGCGGCTAATGTCTCTGAAATGACCACTTCCTGTTTACAGCAGGAATTCTTATTACCCAGAAGACTCCTGGTGCTAGATTCAGGCCAGAAAAATGCCAAACCAATCTCGCTAAATGCACTAATTGCAGGACATACTGCAGTATAATTTTAGTTGCAAGCTAAACAAAACCTTCACAGCACACAGCAGAAATCACACCTGCGAGCAGGAAGAGAGCTCCTCCGGTCACTGCGATGCGAGTCTTGGTGGTTGGGTTGTTATCTCCCACCTTAGTGCACTTCATGCCCACCACGCTGATGATCATGCCCATAAAACCCAGCAGTACCGACACCACCATGAGGGCCCGACATGTCTGGATGTGGACTAGATAAAGAAGAGGAAAGGAAGGAGGCAGGGACCGCAGAGGGGAGCACAGAGCGGTGGATGAGATACAAGAGAAGAAGTGAAAGTAAGGGACAAAAAAAAAAGAAAAAAGAAGGAGGGAAAGTGTTGAGGAGATGAGAAAACAAATCTTTCAGTCCATCATCTGGAATAAAACAGACATTTCTGGACATAGGAGTGATAATTATAGAGGAATGAAGCTACACACGCCTTGAGGGATTGATTGGTAACCACATGCATTTATACAGAAAGCTCATTAAGGAGAGTCCACCACTGTCCCATTTTCCAGAGCAGGGTAATTCCAGCTTTTTATTGTCCAGAAGTGACCGTCGTGGCCAAGTTTTGAGACCTTAAATGATCCACCAGATCTTCCCCAGATCCTTCCTCTGTGGTTTTGCCTAATGCGCTGCCCACACAGGCCTCGGCACACACATAACTTAGTGGGAGGAACATATTTACACATATTTACACACACATATGTATGAGTACACAATATCTGCACAGATGAAACACACAGCTCCCTCTCTCACACACAGCAGCTGTAGGAGGGCCTGCTTTACATGGTTCACACAGTGGGATTAGTGTGGCTTTGTCACAAAGCAAGATTGTTTTCACGGGGCTGTCGCCACAGCGATCAGACGTTACTGCCTCAAACACAGCCGCACACACACATGTTAGCACAAAAAGCACTTAATGATACTGTCAAAATACTGATGGAGTGTGTCTTATTTACAACAGGCGGGGGGATTGTCAAAATCCCAGCAGCGGGAGAAAACATGCAAATTCCCAGCATCCTGATTCTGATATCTGACAGAGCTGACAAATATGGTAATTAAAGTAAACACAACAGAGGTTTTCATACAGGTGTAACAGACAAGGTCACAGACATTAGCTTCAAATAACATTGACTTGAAGTGTAAGCCAGTGTTTATACACCGGAGGAGGGAGGCAGGAATCAAATGATGTCAAAGCCACAAATGCAACAGCAGCAAATAGACTGGAGCAGAAAGAACAAAAAGAATAAGAGAAAAAGAGTAACAACTTTACTCAAGGTCCACTTACTAGTTTGTTTGTTTGTTTGTTTTTTTTGTCCAGAGCTTACAACCATATCTCCTGGTTTTCAAGGTCAAGAAAGAATTTACACTCAAATACATCAGATGAGAACAGAACAGAATAGTTTGGCTAAATAGAAATAGTTAATATAGGTAATAGTTAGTCATAACTCAAGGACCATTTACTAATTCTCTTTATGTCCAGAGCTTTCAACATACCTCCTGGTTTTCAAGGTAAAGGATGAACTTTTACTCAAATAGATCAGACTAGAATTGAACAGAATAGTTGAGCTAAATAGAATAGTTAATAGAGTAGGTAATTTATAGTCTTAACTCAATGACTAGTCCTGTCTAGCTTTCAACTGCATCTCACACTCTAGCTGATGAGAGTTTTTTCAAGCTGTTTTCACGTTCAACTAGATTCAACTTTCCGTAAGATATAAAATGTATCTTGTAGTTCTAGGGGGAAAGAAAATTACTGGACAATGAGTTTATGTTTTTATTTATTTATTTATTTATTGTCAAACTACTGTGTCCAAGTGCAAGGAAGACACTTCATGCTTCAGAACAGTTTAGCTTTTTCCTGGAGCTTTCAACCACACTTCATAGTCCTCAAAGCCCTTTAAAGTAACTGAGTAAGTGGACCTTTAAGTTTTTGTCTGTTGTGAGGGTCAGAATTTCACTCTTAACTAGTTTATACATTAGAATAGAACAGAATAGAATAGAAAGTGAATGTACGTGTTTGACAAAATAAAATCACTTCTTATTGAGCAACAGTCTGAGTAGGAACCTAAAGTCATCATTTGTCATTGTGACAGAAACACACACCCCATCATTCAAGGCGCAGCAGTGATGTAACATTTCAGAGGCTGACCTGAGGGGACTCTTGATGGGAGGAAGAGGATGGAACAGTCTTTGAAGTCTGATTTATGGCTCCAGAGCTGCTTTTGATGGAGTATCTGAATGGTCTTCAACAGAGGGTGGTTTGATTTTTTTTTTATTCTTTCATCCACTCTGAGCATTCCTCCTTTCTTCTGAGGGTGTGCGGGGGTTTAGCCCCCCCCCCCCCATGCTAAACAACACTACCCTGACCAGTTTCAGTCGGTGACAAACCAGAAGGACATTTGGGGGCCTTTGGGGTGAATGAGAGGTTAAAAGTGAGACAGAAGGGCTCGCTCACCCACTCTGCCCTCTCTTTCCAATGCCAAGGTTGGCAGTGCCAGCCACAAGCTTTCAATGAGTGTGTGTGCTTGCTGGTGTGTGTGTGTGTGTGTGTGTGTGTGTGTGTGTGTGTGTGTGTGTGTGTGTGTGTGTGGGCACTGTAAGGTCCCATTGTGAGATCACTTGTGATTCTTCCATACGTAATATCTGTTTGCCCACTCACAACTCAACTATAAAACTATACATTATTTAACATCTCCAGCCCTTTCCCCATCCAGCTTCAGCACAAGCTCAAACTACAAACACACTAACATGATGTTCTCTGTTGTATTACCACACTTCAATTAGCAAAAATAACATTTTCCTTAACCAACTTCCCCTTAGTTAGTCCACTTTTAAGTACAAAGGACAGTATCCTAACAACATTGACTCGTCAAGATCAAACTCTTAGAGCTAAAAGATGAGGCAGACAGAAAGACTGTGCTGTTATTGCTTACTGTGTGAGCAGATACACATCACACCCCTCGTTCTCTTATTGGATAGGAGGACAGTAACTTTACAGTGTGTATTTACCATTGTGGTGGCACTACTCATCCTGACTGAGCCTGGGCCCCAGCTCATCATGGATACTTTTCCAGTCTTAAAATATAACAGGTTTTTTTCTATATTTTTCTTATTATCAACAAAACCCCAAGAAAAGACCAAATCACCAATGAGTGATTATCCGACTAACAAGTGTTAAAACCTGATATATCCTCTTTGCCACAGAGATCCACTGTCCAACTATTAGAGAAAGAATCAATGAACACGGCCATCCCACACAAACCGTCCTGCTGCCAGAACCACTCACTACCACACTGAATGTGTATTAATCTGTGGCAGAAAACAGTCCCAACCAAATGCATTACTATTTACTCGTGTTTGATTAACAAGTTTTTTTTTTGCCATTTTGTGCCTTTATTTGATAGAGACAGACAGGAAATGCAGGGAGAGACGTGCAGCAAATGGTCCAGCAGGCCAAGATTCAGAGCATTTGAGCATTTAGGTGTTATGCGCCCTAACCATTCAGCCATCAGGACACCTGACCTAAAGCCACAGCACCTAGCTGTTTTTTATTTTACTTCTTTAATTACTTAGCCTGTTGTTAAAAAAAAATAAAAGGTGGTATGTAAGTGATATTTAAAGATTTTCATCTTCAGTAGAAACCAATGGGCTTGGGGGCCTTAGTGCCAAAGGAAGGATGGGGGGGGGGGCAGGGGAGTATTGCAAGGAAGACTATGTGTTGATTTGATGCTTGTCCACTGATGGAGCAGATCAGGCCTTTTAGACAGCTGATCCAAGGAATCTAAAGTGTTCAATTAACTATAAGGAGCATAAAGAGAGATAGACGTTAGTGTAATGTTGTTAAATTAATATTGACCTGTTGAATCTCAAGCTGCATTCAGCAAGCAGAAATACCCTTTTACCAAAATGTATCGGACACAAAGTCATCTATAAAAAAACCCTATAACCTATGTCTTTAACATTAAAGTGAAACTAAGGTGATTATATAATGTGACAGAACTGATTGGCAGCTGCAAATCAAGGTGTTTTTAATATCATGCATTTCTGCTTTTCCAGAGCTGTCCTTTCAGCACTACCATCCAATCCTCCTAACCGTATATTATCCTCATCATCATCATCATCTCCTTTTTCAGCTTAGCAGACCTGCAGCAGTTTCCCACTCTACAGATGCTTGGCAGCATCTGTAGAGCGCAGCACAGTCTGGTGAACAATTACAGCCACTATCACATGCTGCTCCCGCTGTGAATGTAGCCAGGAGAGGAGAGTTCCCTCACAACTCAGAACCAGTCTTACTACTGGATCAAACCAACGCCATAGGGGTGTTCAATCAGGATTCAGATTTCTCGGACCCCGAACACATGACCGAATGCTGATCTGCTCCATTTCATAATCTGTCTGGGGGAAACGCCTGAATAAACCTGTGAGTGATCAAGAATGCTCGGTCATGACTTTTCCCTTCAGTGTTGATTCAAAGGAGCGTGTATTTAACTCTTTGCACAGGTTTTCCTCAGTGTTCGTCTCCAGTCTGACTCTGCACTCACTGGGTGTGTTAATGGACAAATGGAACAATGTGCGCGTGTGGGGAAGACAGAGCACATTCTGGGAATATCTCTGGTGTTTGGCTCAACACTGCCCTTTTCTTCTCCTCACAGCCCCTATTCATCCGCAAGGACAATACGCTGTTCTTATCGCTGCAACGAACCAAAGGAGATGGGAGATCAGCGCGGACCCCCCACCCCACCCGCCCACCCCCCACCCTACCCCACCCTGTCACACAGGACACCACAGAAAATGTTTTGATATAATGAGTCAACCAAGACACCAAAATGTTTGCAAAGTGCCTCATTTGTTTGTCCAAGGAGAGTAAGTGTGCCACAGCAGGATTCATGAGCACATCAGCCCCAGACCACAGAGAAAAACACACAAACTGGCATGTTCAGTCGTTTAGTGAGAATGGCTTCTGGCCGAGCCCGGCCCCCCCCCCCCCCCGTAGCCTTTCATTAGAATCTCTAATGAAGGAATAAAAGGATGATTTAAGCAGGCAGTAGATGGATGGATTCATTTAATCTGGGCGCCATTAATTATGAGTCGCTGGGTCCTGCTTACAGATTGGAGATGACAGGAGGCTCATATTCTGAGCTAATTTATGTCTGAACCCCACATTCCTGACCCCCTCCCACTCCTCACACATTACGTTTCATGATGTTTTACACTTTTGAGACAGAACTGAACTTCATTAAAGACGTGAACAGCAGCATTTGAAGTGAGATTTACAGCGTCTGAATTCAATACATCCCACATGGAGGGGGCTCGGGGAGTTGTTTTCCTTCTGTTTCTGCTGCTGATTAATATGAATGGGCCAGCTACGACACACAACACCGGAGACACTTCTTGGGAGAACTCGGGAAGACTAAGTGAAAGTGGCTGATGAAAACTCACACACGACTCTCTTATCAAAAAGACTATTATTAAAGAAAATTAAAGGAAGGCAGCCAAAAAGAAAAAGTGTAAAAAAAAAAAAATAGTGTGATTAAAAGAATTAGAAGAACCTTCCTTGGCGATGCATTAAGAGAGGATTATTGGCTTACTTGAATTTTAATTGTGCTTTTTCATCATCTGACAAATTAGCCAGTGAATATCACTTAATCACAGTTACAGTCACTGCACAGCTTCCCCATAAGGTATTCAACCCACTGAGGATTTTGCATACTTTCTTAGTTATATCATGTTTGAAATATGATAATAATCATCAATTCACAGAATGAGCATATAATCCTTCAAAAAGAAATTGTACCAAATACTTTGAATTTCATCAGTGTGAGGAGAGAAAGAACAAGTTAGAGAGTTTCAGGCTTTGTGGAACCAAACTGGAACGTTGTACTCACTGTCCAGCGAGAGCATGGAGTCAAAGATCTTGCACTGCACCTGTCCTGTACTCTGCGAGGCGCAGCTCATCCACAGCCCCTCGTACAGACCCACAGCCGTGATGATGGCATCGCCGGCGTACGACGACTGCTTCCACTGGGGTAAGGCTGTGGTGGAGATGATGCCGATCCAGCCGCCCAACGCCAGGAAATAACCCAACAACTGGAGACCTGAGTTGGCCATCCTGGTCTTATTTCTGTCTCTCTGTGTCTGTCTGACCTCTCTCTTTGTCTCTTCTGTTTTACTGGCAACAGCTTTTTGTTCAGCGGGACTCTGCTGTGGCCCTCGCTTTGTGCAGGCTTTGTGGACACACCTGCAGCAATCCTGTTACTTATTTGACTTTTCCCTTCACTGTCTGGTCCCTCAGAGCATCTCCTTCTGCCCCTCTGCTTTAACTCTCATCTGTAGATCTCCCCTCTTTCTCCTTGTCTCTAACTCTTTCTTTCTTTCTCTCTCCACGTCCTGGGCTTGTTCTGGCCCCGTGAGTTGGGATGATGAGTGGACGTCTCCCCTCAGGACTGTCCTGTCTGATTTCTTGGTCTCTCTTGGGCTCAGTCAAAGTGGAAGAAAATCTCTGAGGTGGTCAGTGGTTTAGCTCATCAAGCATCGTCGCTGGGCTGCCTCACTCTCTGCATGGCTTCTTCCAGTTCTCTCTCTCTCTCTCTCTCTCTCTCTCTCTCTGTCTCTCTGCTGCTCGCTTACTTTCGCCCCACTACAATCTTTCCATCTGCTCCAGGCTCAAGTGGCTCAATGAGGGGTGGCAGAAAAAAAAGTAAAAGGAAAAAAAAAAGAAAAAAAAAAAACGTGAACACAAAAAGTCCTTAACAGGCTGACCACAAAGAGATGGGGGAAAGGGCTGGCCTGTGATTGGACTCTTCTGTCTTGTAGGAACGCCCACTAGGAGGGAAGAGGGATGGCCTTGTTGCGAAAATAAGCACTGTTTCAAGCAGAGAAGGAAAGGAAAAGCAAAAGCTGTGGCTCAGGGGGGAAAAGAGCAAAAGGTAAAGTCAGAATGACAAGTTTGTTGATGAAAAACAGTCAAGCATTTCTTGAAAATAGAAGGACTTTGACTCTGTATCTTAACCATTCAATCAAACCCATCAACAAAGCTTCAGCGTGCTGCTTTATTCAGGTATGGGATGCATTGATCCCTTAAAACTTTGCCGCCCCGCTGGAGGTGTGGAGAAAGGTGGTGGTAAAGTGCAACAAACACACGTAAATCAGCATCAAACAATGGCCGCCTGAAAGGGAAGTGTCACATCCAGACAGGCTCTCTAGAAATTATGGGCCTGCTGAGGCAAGCCTCCCCCGTCACCATGGCAACCCCCGACAAATGAAGGGAGAGAGAGCGAGAGTTCACCCGACTGTACATCCTTACGAGCTGTAAACGCAGACACACTCCAGGCTTTTGTTGGTGTGGAAAGGGGGGTGGGGGTGGGGGGGGTGGGGGGGCAGAAACCTAGCGTTCCCACAGTTGCGCGGCTCTCCTTCAGCTCAGCTCATTAAATTAGCCTCACTTCAGACTAACTCAATAATTCTATTCTGCCAATTAGACCGTCAACACACTCTCTCTCAGAGACGTCGCCGTTTTCTCACATCTGTAAGAGACATGTCTCACCCCCACCTTGCAAACACACACTCACACACAGCCTGTCCACACAGCAAGCATGTTCTCGCCTGAACTCTCACAGTTGTCTTCAACAGACTTTGGTTGTAAAAAAATGTAAATTCTCATGAGAATAAATAAAAACATAATGACAGATATATGGAAGTAAGAGAGTGTTGGTGGTTTTCTGAATTGTTCTGATGTAATTCACAGCAATTTCTCTCCACCTTCGGTTTTTCTCACTCGTTTCTTTGTGTTTTCTGTTTCTGTTTCTTTTCTTACGTCTCAAACCAATTCAGCCTTGAACTTGAACCTCAACCTGATCTCCCCTAACATCAAGAAAACACCATGTGAACATGCATGTGACCTCACTTATCCAGCAACAAGCTACACACACACACACACACACACACACACACGTATGGATAGAAAGACCCATACATGGAGGTCTTACCAAGATTCAAACCAACCCTGTTTTTTTTAATCCTCTAACCTTTTCTCAGCCACACTCTTCTCGTAGCCTTGAATATTCAGGGTGTATGTATATGTGCAAACGTTGTGTGATGAGGTTTGCAGTGTCTAATGAGGGGCTTCAACGTATGGGGTGAGTTGTGGTCAGAGCACAGAGGTCAGCTGAGCCCGGGAGGCGAGAAGAGATGAAAGAGAAGCTAAACAAGTGCTCAGGTCCAGTGGAGTGGGTGGAGTGGGGCGGGGCGGGGGCTTCAACAGGGCTTCTAGAGGTCTTTCTGATTTTGAATCATAACAACAAACTGCCACTGGTGGAGTTAAAGCAGTGCAGGTTCAAGTGAAAAACTCAAATGAGCAAAGTTTTGAGTGTCAAACTCTCACTGCTTGTTGGCTTAGAGCTGCCAGTCGTAAAACCGGTTTGTTATTGCCTTCAAATATTACACATATATGTGTGTCTTTCAGCACAGGACATGTTCTGCATATGATCATTTGTATAATTATTCATATTCTCAGATCTGAAATAGAAAATCTCCTGAACACCTGAATAGTCTTTGTGAAAGGTGCGCAGGTGAAGGAGACTATGAGGTTGAACAGACACCCACACATGGTCTTCACTTGCTCAATTTCGGTCAAAGACCTTCTTCAGGTTTTTCAGGTATACCAGGTGTCCCTGAAGTATGAAGGTGTCTTTTCCACCTCAGACCTGATATTTCGAGAACACTCACAGATTTATTTCATTGTTCCTGTTTCCTCTTCGTTTTATTTGAAGTGTTTAAGATATATTTGTGGTTTTAAGAACCAAAAACTATCTCAATGTAGTTCTACATCTCCTCTCTCAGGCTTCTCTCTGAAGCTCTAGTAACAACAAGGTCAGTGAGCCAATCGGAAGAGAGGAGGCTCTGAGTCTCTCTTCTGATTGGTTCACTATTCTCTATATTTTTTTTTTCAATAAAAATATAACAGATTTCAGTTAAACACTCAGAGAAACCAAATCATGCAAGGTTGGATGGTGGGTCCAGGTGGGCGGGGCTTGGGGTGTGGCTGAATGCAGTGACTGCTTTGTTGTGACATCACAAAGTTACAGAAGTCCTGACGGCTCCTTTTAAGACTCAGTTTGTGAATACAGGCTGTGTTCATTTCTCTGTGGACTGAGGCTTTGATACTTTCACAGTATTAATATAGAACCTAGACCTTTATCATCAACCAACACATGGAAATCTACCTTTTTACTATATAGGACCTTTAAAGTTCATTCTTCTTTTTTATTTGAAACTAAAACATAACTCAGTAGAACATGTCTCTGAATCATCATGTTTCTTTCACTTCATGGGTTCAAAACAGTTGAAAATCTTGCTTCCGAATTAACTGAATAAAAGTAAACTGGTGAACATGTTGTAGTTCAAATAGTCCATCAACTTGTGTGAGATCCCTGCACTGTCAGTACTGGCTCCACCACCATTACCAGTGTGGATACACCCTTTCACAGCTTTCAGCTCTTATCTCTTCGATATGACTCTCCCCAGACAGGAAACCAGCAAATGTGGTTAGCACAGCCTCATACCCAAGCACGCACAATTAAGACATCAGGGGCCTATCAGATTAGCCGGTGTTGTCAGGGTTACCATGAGACACATGTGGACATGTAAACAGTATTGGGGGGGGGGGATTACATAACACAACAGGCAGGTTGTGGATTAGTCTTTTTGAAGAAAGACATAGGGATTATTCAGTGAGGCAGCTTCACTTTGATGTCACATGAAGCAAATTTGTATACAGTCATACATCTGGAAGATACTATATAATTGATATCACTTGGGATGCTAGCTTGTACATGAGTTAGCAGTATTCCCAGAGACCTTGTAGCATTCTCCAGCAACTAATTACGGTACGTCAAACCTCTCCTGTTAATGTTTTTCACCCAGAGAGCCCACATGAGAAGGTTGCGTCTGAATGAATGCTAACTAAGCACAGAAATGAATAATGTATGGCTGCACCCTGAGGAGAGCTCCTCTGGTTGAGCTCAAGTGCCCCTGAAGAGACTGTTGGCTCTGCTCATTACGGAGTTGAACAGGGCGTCTTTTCTCCAAAGCAAACGCACAAAAAACAACATGGAGAGTGTGGAGGAGAAAAACTGTTGGAGAGTTAAATGTTTGGTTAGGTTATTGTTGTTGATTGATGTCCTAATGGCTCTGATTATGTCATTTTGGATACTTAAATCTTAAAACCACTGTGAGAGGTTGATGGGAGCACTTTCCGTGAATGTCTTGAATATTTAGTGACACACAGAGCCAGTGCATTCTATGAATTCTTCTCTTCCACTGTTTCCTAAACTCACCATGGTTGACCCTGCTTTCATGCGGCTTTGGTTCAGCTACTGGGTCAGCACCTTCTGCTGATGGTGATCGTGAAACATGCAACTGCCTGGGGAGGAGTGGGAGGAGACCCTTCCTTTCTCCATCCTCTCCACCCAGTATCCCTGCAACCTGTTTATCCCCCATCACCTTTCCATCTTTCCTTCCTCGTCTTCCTTCCAGTTCCTCACCAGAGGATACATGGTTCAGTGGGTGCCATCGGTTACTCCCTCTCTCCATCGTCTCTCCCCACCTCTTACCTCTCTCCCTCTCCCCAGATTTTCCAGACCCCTGCCGCACTAAGCTGAGCTTAAGAGTCAGCTGAGCTGATCAAAGACCGTACCCATGTAGTGGCTAACAAGAGGCGAGAGTTCCCAACGACACAGGACCTCCCAGGGGTTCCCATCGCCATAGACCTACTGTAACTAGAATCGACGTGGAGGGACAGAAGCAGATTATACACACTGTCTGCGTGACTGCATGAGTAGCCGTGTGATAGATGTACACAGATGAGATCTGTATTCCTGAGAAAATATATTTATTCTTGCGGAGGCTGATCTCAGGTCCATGGGATATTTTGCTGATTTTAAGTCTGCAGAGACCCACCCTTCATTACGCAGCATCCCTACAGGGTGGGGAAGGCCCACGTCCTTTTCCCACCACTCTCCTCCCTGTCACCCCACCATCCCCTCCTTCTTCTCCATATACCGTCACGTCGACCCCTTCCAGTTGCCTCTGCATGTTCTGGCACCCTATTATCACTCTAATTAGCCCTTGCAGGCTTTCCCTCCTCTTCCTCCTCCCCTTTGTTCCCCATTTCTTCTTTTGTCCTTCATGACCTTTCCCTCTGTTTTCCTCCATACTACTTTTACAGTTTATACTGTGGCCCTGCTGCAGGCCACTGTTTGACCCCAGCAGGAATGAAACCACATTTCTCAGAAATGATGTCCTTTTGTACATAACTGCATCAGTACATGTCGTACTAGTGTTGTCACTTTGTGTTTGAAATTCATACTATTGTTTTAATGTGGGAAAAATATTTGATCTGTAAAAATTTGTCAAATAAAACTTAACTGTGTCAATGAGCTCTCATAAAATGTGGTCAGTCAGTCTGATTTGTGTTAGTGAACTGGCCTCTTATTGTTCTTAATGGAGGAAATCAGTGAGTCATGCCCACAGATATCACTACACCAAACTAGCTGAGAAGTAATGTGAGGAAGCATTTCGGATACAGCACCG